AAAGCCGAAAGAAAAATAAGAAGAATTTTATTATGACGATAATATATCACACCTATTAATTCTGACATGTTAACAGATGACTATGTCATATGTAGCCCTAAAGTTCACATTACAAAACTGGGAAAATGTAACATTAAATGGATTTTCATTACCTGATTGGGATCATCCCATATCAGGGACATTTTATTTTAGGGTTTGGAGTGTATGTCCATTCACGATGAGACATATTATATATTTTAAGTGAACACAGGTGAAGATTGACTCATCTTCCTTGTACTGCATACAGTTACAGACAGAATCCCAAGAGGAACTGATATTGCTGTTTGGTCATGACAAGATCAGATTTTTTTTTTTTTTTTTTGGCAAATTGTGATAAAAAGGTACAAGCCCAGGCCGTGACTGCATGTCTGTCCTGTCCCTGCCCATCACACGCAGCACCAGCAAGTCCCACAGATAAAGAAAAGAGTGAGGAGAGGCAGACAAAGCAGGGGAACGCCCCCTGCACCCTGCATTTTTACTGGCAGATCATCATCATCATAAAATGATTATTGAGTCGACTTGATCGTTTCAACCACTGAGCAACCAATATGTAAATGTGTAATTACTTAAAAAGACCTCAACCTTTGTGCTTCTTACACATAAACACACACTGCTTACCTTTAAACGCAGCAGATTAGGGTAGAAAGGTATTCAACGGTTTTTAGGTTTTAAGAAAAACAAAAACAAATAGAAAACGAAAAAACTCACCTCAAATAAAACAGATTGAAGTGAAGAGTGGAGACATTGAGTGTGAGCTGACGTCGTACTTCTGTTTGGCCTTTTTTGTTATCTCTCACTGCTGCTGCGTTGTCAGATTGTAGGTGGCTAACGTCGTCGTAGCCGACTTTGAGGAGCAGAAATGACGTTGTTCTCGGTGGCTGTCGGTGTAAAATAGTGTAAAAACATCGGGGAGATTTCGTCTGGTCTGTTCGTCCCCCGTCTCTTCCTCTCAGAGCCTGAATTCTTCTTCTTCTTTTCTTTTCCTTTCTTTTTTTTTTTTCTTTTTTATGCTCGCAGCTGTTTTTGTTGTTAGCCTCAGCCTGATATGTGTCCTCTGTCCCTTTAAGACTCGACGTTTCCGGGGCCTGGCACGTTAATAAGAAAGAGGCGGAACTTCACGGCCAGCTGAGCGTCTGTCATTTAGTTGATTGGTCATTTATTTTAGACACAGCCAATCAGGACTGGAGAATTACGCTACATTTAAACATGCAAAATAATTCCAAAAACACCGCTCTGTGATTGGAGAACGGATTAGCTGACGACCCGCCCAGTACACGTGCTTTTTGTCTCCTCCCATTCTCAAACGCATGACGGCTTCTAGCGCTGTCACTTAGAGATGGGAAGACCGACTCTTTTTATTGATTCGAATATTTGACTCTCGAACAGTAAAATGAACGAGTCGTGAACGAATCTTGAACTAATCATTTCATTCGTTTTACAGCAAGTGGCGCTTTAGCCCTATTGTGGGCGTTGTAAAGAAGGCTGCGGTTCTCCGACACTAAATACTGAAGG